TTATTTATGCTAAGTATCGACGCTGGTCACTACGCTATCCAATACGTACGAGAAATGCTTGTACCTCTCATATGCTAGTTGCTTCGGATCCAGTTTATCATCGTGGGCAAGTGGAATGCTTGCATCGGGAGGTGTGCTTCGAACAAGTGACAAATACTGCTCCAACCATTGCACGACCAATACACCACAGCTGTGTCCATCACATTGGCGCCATCCAGTAAATGTTTTAGCTTGCATCTCCATGTGAGAGCTCATAAATTTCATGAAAACGCCACTTATAACCTCTTGCACTGCATCCAAAATCGATTTTTTGTGGAGCGGATCATACTTCCACACAATTTTGCGCTCCATGTCAAAAATGATGCCGCACCAGTGAGGAAATTCAATGTCAACGTACGTTGGACAGCAAACGATGCGATTTGAGCGCATCTCCGTGAAAATATGATCCTTTGTGTCGATGTATTGATTCCTTCGCTCTACATCTGACAGCTGCAAATATAGTGGGTCAACAACCGTAACATATTTCGGATTTTGCCAGGTTTGTGGCTCTGCCTCTTTGACAACGCGTAGCGAAGCCAGAAATACACACGAATCACTCAGCCATTGGTCACCTCCATATCCTGCTAAATCCAAAAACGAAATATTGTGGCCATTTGCACTAAAAACACTGTCGACGTTCATGAAAGGTATCATGTGCAGGATGCGTTGACGCTCCACTTCTTTGTGGTCGTCATCAATAACAATTTTCTCCACAAACTTAACCAGCTTCCGGGCCTTGGTCAGCTTCTTTGATACTTCGTGTCACGCTCGCATTCGCTCTATATCCACCAGACTAAACGTCCCAACGCCAAGAATCGAAATCACTATATCACTTGATGCCAGTTTTGTGTCATTGATTAGCTCTTCGCGGATCTTCACGTTTGTAGCCGAGTCTATGCTTTTCATCACCAAAGGTTCTATCAAGATATTGGTTAATGAGTTTGCATGTTGGTAAGTATTGGTGAAGATGACACCAATATCACCAAAATATTGAAAATAACACATTTACATACCTGGAAGCACGAATCGGATATTGCTCTCTACAGAACGGGAGTGATTACCCTTGATCACTAATGCTTTGGGACGTTTGAAATCCGCACCATCGAACATGCGGCGGATACTGTCGAGAGCATCTCCAACAACCGCTATTGAAAGCTGTTGTGTCTTCACAACCTCGTCCAAAACTTCCAACGTAACATCACCCACAGTGGCGACCGTGTCCACATACGCCAGTGTATCCGTAATCTCCTTGCTCCTCTTTGCCTTCTTAAAGCTTTCCTTTTGCTTTGGTCTTCCAGATGGACGACTAGCTGTATTAAGCTTTACTATGCGTTTGGCATCATCATCCAATATTTTGTGGGAAGGCTTTTCTTCAGTTGTCTCGTCCAATTCAAGTTTTCGCTTCGCTGAAAGTGAAGACAGCTTCTTCGACGCCCGTTTTGTCTCTCGGATGTTTTGTTCTTCTTCGTCCAGCGGAACTTGAAGAGGTTTTTCGAGGCCCACCTTAACATCCTGTCCAGAAGTCGAGATACATGGTGGATTGGTACTGTTCTCACCCAGTTCGTCCAAATTTGTGGTAAAATCACCAATATTGGTGGTAATACCACCAATATTGGCACTATCGTCATCGGCTTCTCCTGCATCACCTGAGCTGAGCGTGCCTGAACCGTTCCTTTCTGCATCCAACATTGGCGGACCTTTGTCATCACGAACCATGTTATCTAAGGCCTTTAAATAGCGGTACCAACTCGTAAATCCTCGCTTCCCTTTATCAGTGACACCCTCGGCAATTCGTTGGCAAACGGCAAATATTGCTCGGTATTTCTGGTTGTGCGATTGAACTCGATTTGAGCCGTCGAAGGCAACATCACCCACAGACAAGCTCACAGCGTCTCCTTCTTCACATACAGGATCTTCACAATCACTGGAGACCTCAGCTATCGACCGTCGCTCTGGGATTGTTTCAAATGGAATTGCGGATCGGAAAGAATCATTTTCGCGCCTTAAAAATATAATATACCGGCACGGGAGAAGAAGCGTTTGGTTGAACACGCAGCTACAATTGTTAGTCTTCAAATTAACCTGAAACAACATAATAACGTTAGTGGAATAAGACATTAACATCGAACGAACCACAGAACTTACCGCATATTGACTTGACGATATCTTGCTGGTCAAAGTGAACATAAAACCCGAAGTCTCGCAGGGTTCAACCGTGTAATCCGCCCCCTTGCTAGCTGGATATTGACTCTCAATCTGATCGCATGCATGATGTGTTGCTATCTTTGCCAAGACTTGAAGTTCTTCGTCGTACTTGTGATTGTGACGGACGCCGACCCGTTTCGACTTGCTGCGATATTTATCCTCGGCAATCTGCTGTAGAAAAAGCAAATGGTCGATGCACTCATCCATGGGCATGTGGCGATGAAGAATACCTTTTGCAGCCCCCCAACTTGCTTCCAATCGGTTGTTTGTGCTGTTGTCCAAGTGAGGGATGCATCCGCGCAGGAACGTACACCACAATGGCTTACAGCTTAACCAATTGGCTTCCAGATACTCCAAAAATTGTTGCTTACTCTTACAAAGAGTTGAGGGCTCGCATATAGCGATCGAATTCTCGTTCATCACCAGTCCGCACCATCATCGTAATCAAGTTCTTGGCATGTATCTTCTCAAATGCCGTAAACGCGTAGACCTTTTTGCTGATTTCGCGTTTGAGATAGTCAATGACGTGGAAATGACAAAGAATCAATGTAGCCTCAGGTAGTTCTTCTGCTAGTACGCCAAGTTCAGTGAAATCCTTATCAATAATCACCACCTTGATATTGGCCACGCTGGATTGTTCTGTTTAAATGCCTTGAACGCACTCTTCATGTTAGGCTTTGCTCTCCGTCAATCAAGGCATGCTGAACAAACGCCCCGCTGCCAAATTTATCTGTCACCATGAAACTAAACAACCGATACCTACATCAAATTCATTGTTAGTAATTGGTGAATATGAAACCAATTCCTACCTAATTGGTGACATCACCTAACGTGTTGGTAATTATGTCACCAATTTATTAACTGGTGCTCACATCGTACCTGTTACTGTTTGTGCCGTGTGTGGCATCTATACAAAGTGCTTCTGGGAATTTGCGAGCCATCCTTTTCATATGTGCTGTCTGGAAGGTTATACAGCTCGTCAATTCGGAACCTGGATCGCGATAGATATTGACAGCCGTTCCTGGACCTTCACTGAAATCTTGCAGCAACTGTGAAACACGGACATTGTCATCCGGCGAGGTGTATGTTTCGCGTCGCATCTGAGCAATCATGTTTTCGACGTCCTTTGGCTGGATCGGTTTTCCGGATGTTTCTTTTAAATATCGCAGAATCTTTTTGCGGTTGGACCCACCTATAAGACATCATGTTAGCAAATGACCAGCTATATGTTGTACTACTGTTGATCTTACCTTGCCACATTGTTTTAACAACAAATTTGGTGTCAGGCGAGTCCACCTTGCGAGTCTCAGCGTACGTGAAATACTCTTCAGGACCAACGTTATGGTTGTGGACAGACGTGCGCTTTGAAGCACATACCGTATACACTCCGCCTTCGTCTTGTTTCAGGAGCGCGTTCAGTCTCGCCTTACACCCAATCCCTCGAACAGTGTGGTTTGTTCTGATGCTTTTGCCACGAGGGTTAAACCTGCCAACCGTGAGTGCAGATAAAGGTCTTCGAGTAGAACACCAATTTCTCGTCGTACAGGACAGGCTGTGTACCTGTCAAAGCACAACGTTTACTTCGCTCACGATTCCGACACGTACAGAGTTACTCGTTCGCAACATGTAAATCTGATGAGTGTCCTTCTGGTACCTACGCGTGAATACATTTATTAGATACATCACATCAAACGCACCCGCCAAATGTCATTGTACCGTTCAAAAGCCGCCTCAAGGTCAGGCCACGATGCAAATACACCGCTAAATGGAGGGAAAGTAAGTTGAATTGTTTTCCTTATTGTATGCTCCGTTTTATCTCGGCTTTCATCGCCTGAAGCTCTGGGAAGAGTGCCTCCATCTTGGAGATTAGCCTTTCCACTTGTGGGGCGCGATACTCGGCTTGCTGACATGACACTACGACGAGCGGCGCCGATAGGAAGTACCGGGGAAGAACTGGGAAGAGCTGGGGGGAGCGGGAGGCGGGAGCGAAAGACGGTCTAATGAACGGCGATAGAGACTCGCAAAATTTGAAAAACATAATTAGAAATTTTTGATACCGGTATTCACCGGTACTCCAAATGTTTGTTTTATGTCAAAAAATATTGGTGAACCTAGACACTTCCTTCATAATGGGCAGGGCTTTGTAATCTGAAAGTTGATGCGCCAAGCTATACTTTTCTCAGCTGTAGATTGCCCTACTGCCAGTTCTGGTTTATAACTTCTGGACTGGGTGATGTGTTTTCATCAGCGAGTTTCCGCTAAAGCATTATTCCAGCTATTAATAAACCTTGGATGGTAAAAAGCTGGAGCATTTAAAGCTTTACAGTTTCTTGATCAATCTAAAAAAGTATTTTCCGGTAGGAAGGAAGTACAGTACATGTATATACAACTCGCTCCAAGAAAAGAACGATTATGAAAACAAACAGGTGTCCGTCTTCCGCCAATCTTGAAAATGAGAAAAGCATAGCTGGGCCCATAAGCTCTATCATAGCACCGAATGCAAATCCCTCGTGGCGCTGTAGTCGATGGACTTCAGCTTGGAGTCCAAGAAACCGCAGGGGGGAGACGAAGCTGAGTTGCCCGGAACTCAGAATACAAAAAGCTATTAAGTACTAGTACAAAGTATCCATGGATACTTGTACTTATTTTAGTTTTGCGACATTACCAGTATACCAGTCTAGTATTCCAGCGCTACTAATCAAATACCGTTTGTATACCACTTCAACGCACAAGGGGATCAACGAACACTTAATTAAACGGTTCTGTAATTTCATTCCAGTCATCTTATACAGCTAGCTAACCAGTGACTTATTCCTTTGCGATCTCGATAATGATCTTGCCACGAGCACGGCTCGACATCTGCACCTTAAACGCCTCCATCACGTTCTCCAGCGAGTGCACCGAGTCAATAATCGTCTTCACTTTTCCAGCCTCGATCAGCTTCTTGAGTTCCAGCAAGTATTCCGTGCACGGCGCGTTGAAGATCTGGTGCAGCGTAGCGCCAATGGGCGACTCGATGGGCTTGTCAATCGTCAGGATCGTCACGAAGATGCCCGTCTTCTCCTTCAGCACCTTCTGAGCTGTATCATTCCACGAAGCTGGCTCCATGCCACAGTCGTAAATGAGGTCGATGGAGTGCTCGGCTAGCACCTCGCTCCACTTCTCCTTAGTGTAGTCCACGATCTGGTCGGCGCCAAGAGACTTGACAAGCTCCACGTTGCGAGCACTGCACGTCGTGATGACCTCAGCGCCCAGAGCTTTAGCGATCTGGATAGCGAACACGCCCGTGCCGCTGCTACCTCCAAGAATCAATACGCGCTGACCCTTTTGAAGCTTGCCGTACGTCACCAGTGCCTGCCAGCTCGTCTGGCCGGCAAGCGGCACACCTGCCGCTTCATTCCATGACATGTTGGTGGGCTTGGGTGCCACGAACTTGGTCTCAATGTTGATGTACTCGCCAAAGGTACCGAAGTTCACAAAGCCGGGCATGGCGAAGATTTCGTCGCCTACTTTGTAGTCTTTGACGTCACTACCGACCTCCACGACCTTGCCGGCCATGTCGAAGCCCACACGGAACGGGTTCTCGGCTGTGGGGGCGTGAGGCAGAATGTGTGGACCGTACGTGACCAGTTTGTAGTCCACGGGGTTCACAGCCGCGCTGAAGATCTTGACGCGCAGCTCGTCGCCCTGAAGCGGCTTCTGGACAGCGTTGGCGTTGAATTTGATCTCCTCCAGCGCATCGCCGAACTTGTAGTACTCATAAGCTTTGAAGGTGGCGGAAATGGTGGCCATGGTAGAAGTTGAGGTTGGTATTGGGGTCTTGGAGACTTGTGGGCTTTGGATATTTTTGGAAAATGAAAGACGAAGCCGTGGAGGGTCTGGGAGTTCATGTAAACAAAACCTTCACGCGATCATTCAAATGCAATTATCGTTCTAGAAGGTATAAATCATACTGTACCTAGAAGGACCAGATTTAGAATCTGAGCAAATTTGAACAGATGATGGCTTCTTCCGCAAATCTTCCTGAGCAAAAAACGTCCAATTCTAGGTGATGATGAAAACACCGACCCTGCATCAACTAAAACTCTAAAATCGAGCGCAACCCTGACCCAGGGAGAACGTGATGGAGGCGTTCAAGGTGCAGATGTCGAGCCGTGCTCGTGGCAAGATCATCATCGAGATCGCCAAGGAATAAGTCACTGGTTAGCTAGCTGTATAAGATGACTGGAATGAAATAACAGAAACGCTCAATTAAGTCCCCTTGTGCGTTGAAGTGGTACATATACAAACGGTACTTCAAAGTATAAGGGAAGTGGTCAATTCGAGGCCGGTTTTGCAGGTGCAATTTTCGGAAAGGCACTGCTTCGGACTCGAGCCTCGGAAGTCATAACTTTTGACAGTTTTGGAAACCTCCGAAATCCCTCTTTTTTTTAAGGTGGTGATTGGCACATAATATGACAGTGCTGGTCGCTGTATTGTTACTTAAAGAAACCACTGGAATTGTGGCGGAGGATTAATTAAAGGCCGGAATTAGACTTGTCTTGAGTATGTTCATTGGTACACCAGCATCAGGGCTAGGTCTACTAGAGCGGTGCATTTCGGTCGTACTTAAGGCATTATCATAGGCTACTAGGTTTGAGAGGTGATGCTATTTTGGAAAGGACTGTATTTCCAGAAGCACGCAAACACAGACAGCGCTCGAAATGTCGAGCGGGGCGCCGGCTCTGCTCGAGTCCCCAGAGCTCCGCTGCCACCCGGAGAACCTCGTACGGCTGCTCATGCGTCATGGCTAGAGACTCTTACCTTTTGCTATAGCCAAGACCTCCTGTGTGATGTAAAACTGCCCGGCAGGGTGGGGGTAACGCTGCCGGATTGACAGACGCACATATTCAACTAATTTGGTACGGCAATCTTTAAGTTCCACATACTTATGAGGTCGTACTGACAGTTGCTCTGTCTAAACTACTGTAGAACCTACAATATCACTACCAGTGTCAACGCTTGGCGACATCGAGGTCGTCTTCTTGCAAGGCTTAGCCCTTGAACTACTCGTGCTCGCGTGTTTGCGACCTTTAGCTCCCGATCTGGCGGTGAACGCTTCAATTTCCTGTAAGACCTCATGTGTCAAGAGACGTCCGCCGACGGAAACGCGCTTGCGCTTCTGACCGCGGGCTTTGCTCGGTGGAGTTGGCATTGTGAGAATCTCGTCTTCGACAAGCGCCTTCATATGCAGCCATGTGGCAAGCAGGACGTGGCGAGGTGCCCCATTTCGTGTGAAATTGCTCAAACGGGCGCCCATTTTAACTAAAGACAAGGGAAACAGTCCACAAGCTTTGAACCCTGCCTTAACATTTCGATCGATCCGAGCCCCTCGCCAGGCCATGCTAGCCACTTGAATCGCATCGTCTTTGCTAATGTTGTAGTATCCGTTCTCGTCTTCCTCCACGAGCTTTCCAAGCAGAGTTTGTATCTTGCTCTTCAGTGCAGCGAATACGGCTACGTCTAATGGCTGCAGAAGGTGCGTGGCGTTCGGGGCCAGGAAAACCAGCATTACGTTCAGACACTCTGCTGCAGCAAGCACCTCTTCCGAGTAGTGAGATCCGCATCCATCCAAAATCAGCACAAGTGGACGTGCAATGAAATCAGGCACTGCGCTTGCAAAGAACTTCAACCATTCCTCAAAAAGGGTGGTATTCATAAAGCCCGAGGCTGAAGTCGTGACCACAGCGCCTTTTGCCTCGCAATTTTCCAGCAATCCAGGTGAAACGGTCTTTCCAGGCAAAACAAAAGCCGGTGGTATTACAAAGCCAGCAGCACTTCCACACGCACCAATTGTGAGGTGAAAATTAGCTGTAGGCTCTGTACTCCAAACGTTACTCGATCCACGAACAGCAACTACTTTCTTGCTCTTGAGTTGCTTCTGAAAAGCTGTCTCGTCCATATTAAAGACCCTCGAGCTGTCCAGTTTCAGCTCAATGATAAGCTTTGCCAGGGTGTTGAAAAGCGTAGTTAGGTCACCATGAACAACAAAGTTACGCTTTGTAAATTTCTGTGAGTTTCTTACTTAGTTGTTTATCTACAAATGGCATGCTGGAAATCGTAATACACCGAATGCGTTGGCTAATATCACACCGGCCTCGAATAGATCAACCGGCCTCGAATTGGAAGTTTCCCTTATGATTAGTAGCGCTGGGATACTACATGTATGAAGTATATGATTAGA